GGCGGGGCGGGGCCAGCGGCCGCGGGAAAGTACCTGCCCGAAGGCTGAGCCTGTGGCGGAGATCTCCTGGAAGCTGGGAATGCCACGTCCCTCCTCCAAAACCAGAATTACCTTCTCATAATGCTATAGGAGTTGCAGACTTGATATGTATGGTCACGACTCCCGAAACGACTCGAATAAATTACACCTGTGATCAGAGTGGTTCACCAAATTAGATATAAAGAGAATATAAAATAGTTTGCTGCTTGAAAAAGATTGTTAAAAGCTCAATGCATAGAAGATCCTCATGTCTTTTTTTTTTAATTTAGGTTTTTTTTTATAATTTGTCTTACCGAACTCTTGCAATGGGAGAGTAAGGGAGTGCAATTCTTAAATTATACTGTGAGTCACATGTTTTAAGACCAGAGGGAAGTGAGGCGACGCGTGTTACACTGTGGTCTTCTAAATCTGGAGGCAAAACATAACACCCTCCTCCTTCCCTGTTGTAGACACCAGGCTCAGCTCGAACTAGTGTTATGTGCCATTCTTAATCAGTAGCATTCTGAAGTAGGAGTGCACAAATGTCTCTGCATGTAGAAATAGCCACCCCATTTTGTGCTCCAGCTCATCCAACCTGGACAAAGTGGAATTTGCCCCACCCCTGGAGGCTTTATTCTTAGACTGGTGCCCTGGGCACTGCCTTACTTGGCATGTACAAGTCCAGTTTTTCTAGAAAAATGCATGATCAGGTGGTGAATGAGGGTCAATGCAGTACCATTCAGCCAGGCAGAGTCTATGTTCAAATCTAGCTTTAAAATTGGACCCTGTCAGAGCAGGAAAATCCTTTTGGGGAAAACACGCTGGTTCTATTTCCCCAAGGTCCAAATCTAAGATTCCATCTCCAAGGCACTACAACTGAACTTATTCTGTGCCAAACCAATGGGGAGAGAAATGATCTCTTAGGCAACTGGGTCCTAAGGGATAGAGTATATGGTAGGTCGAATGCAGTGCCGTAAAGTTTCAACCAGGTGTGAAAGGTTCTGCAGAGTATCTGAGGTTCAGAAGGCCTGAGCTCACTGAAGTTTTGTTTCTTATTTTATCACATGTTCTGCACCTAGCATAGAGCCTGCACAGACTATTTGCTCAATAAATCGCAGTTGAATGAACGCATGAATTTATAGAAAGAACATTGCACAACAGTAAGAATGCTACATTCTGTACTAATGTTCCCATGGAAACATAGGAATTATGAAACCTATCCTGTTAGGTTCTAAGAAAGAAGTAACTAGTAATGGTTTCCTTATTAACATTTATTCAAAACTGGTTGTACTCTTTAAAGCAGCGGTTCCCAACCTGTGGGTCGCGGCCCCTTTGGGGGTCAAACAAACCTTTCACAGGGGTGGCCTAAATACATCCTGCATATCAGATATTTACATTATGATTCATAATAGTAGCAACATTACAGTTATGAAGTAGCAACGAAAATAATTTTATGGTTGGGGGTCACCACAACATGAGGAACTATATTAAAGGGTCGCGGCATTAGGAAGGTTGAGAACCACTGCTTTAAAGTATCTGTCTGAACCATCCCTAGAAGTTAGTGGAAGGAGTAGACAAGCAGGAGGTCGGAGGAGGAACATTCACATCCAAGCTCTGCTACTTACTGGCCCCACCACAACCTGGGCAAATTGCCTAATACACAGGTTTAATATGAGGATTAAATGAGATAACGCATATTATTGGGCTTTGCAAACAATATTTGTCTCAAGAGTCTCTAATCCCATTAGTCTATTATTCACATCTCAGGATGCAGATTTTAATATCACCTGTTCTATCACAACCAGTACGCCTGACATAATGGGTAAGAGTTCAGACTCAGCCAGAGGTGTCCTTGGACATGTTATTTAACCTTCCTGGCCCTCGTGTTTAACATTTGTAAAATAGAAATAATAACAATCTCTAGCAACTGATGCAGTTGCCAGGAATAAATAAAATGAGGCATATAAACTGTTTAACATCGTGTCCAGCACATTTAAACACACAATAAACAATATCTGCTAATATTCCTCCTCTTCATGGGACTTCACTTATAACACACAAATTGAAGGTTAAAAGATGGCAACTGCAGCATATTAAAAGCTTGTGGTCCTTCTAAGCATGGAGCCCAGTCCTACACAAGTCACACACACCCATGAAGCCAGCCCTGACTGATTTATCCAACATCTTGTCATCTTGCACTGGATAAGAAGGAAAGTTTTCATATTGGCGTGCAAGGCCCTATGCAATCTAATTCCCGAGCAACCAGTTTCCCTCTGACCCTAGTTCTACCATTTAATCTCTCCTTCCTTCTGCTCCAGCTACACTGTATGATTTCTCAGACACACCAGGGTCTTTGCATGGATGTGCTCTTCCTTCTTTCTGTGATGCTCTTCTCCACGTAGCCAGAGGGCTTGTTCCATTTTCTTCAAGTCTTCACTTCAAATCTTCCTTCGTGTGACCCTTTACCGCCAGCTTAGTCATCTTCATTTGAGTAGAGACCCTCTCTTCCCCTTACTTGCACACTTTGTTCTGATCAAGAGAAAGAGGCCTGATTCTTTTGCCTGTCTACTAAAGGCTGCTACTCAATTTTTTCCATTCAAGGTTCTACCTTGCTCTGTGGCTAACCTGGGGAACAGGATAACCTCCCCGTTCTGCAGAGAGCTCACACACTTCCCACTAGGTTCTTAGCTTATCCAGCAGGCTCCAACACAGAAGCAGCATCCTAATATGCGCTAAATGTTAACATGTGCCAAAAAGATTCACATCCGGTGAGTTTAGAGGAGGGAAAGCAGAGTTGGTTAGGGTTCACCTAGGGTTGTTTTTATTTTCTTATAATCCAAGTTTAAGGATGAAACATATGGACTCAGGAGAAGTAGGGAGTACAAAAAAGGCAATATTAAATATTTTGTGTCACTTGATTTGACCCTGAAAAGGTGGAGGTGAAATAAAGGATTAAAGATTCTACTTGTGGTGTGTTATAGACTGAATCTCTGTGTCCTCCTAGTCTATGGTATTTTGTTATAGCAATTATGTTGTACCCTATGTTTTTCCGAAACAATTGCCATATTAAGACCTCATGACATGTTTGCGAAAGAACCCAAACAGATATCCTATCACAATATCAAAAAAGAGAGGGAGAGTCAAATAAGACTTCAAGATTTAAAAAACTCAAAACACAATTCCTGTGAGATAAGTTAATTTCCCCCTCCGCCGCCCCGCCCCCCAAAGCTGTAGAGCAGCAGTTCTCAACCTGTGGGTCGCGGCCCCTTTGGGGGTTGAATGACCCTTTCACAGGGGTCGCCTAAATACATCCTGCATATCAGATATTTACATTACTATTCATAACAGTAGCAAAAT